AAGTAGTCAAAGCGCAAAGTCCAATGGCAAGCGTAAAAATAACAAGATATGACAGTCAGAGTGAGAAATTAAAATTGAGAGTGTACACTCCAATTTAAAAGAATTTAAAAGGACGCCATAGGCGGCGGCTGATTATTTAAATAGTATGTTATCTTCAGGCGATTTTAATAGTTACACTTTACATGCCAACTATATAGTATTAATTCATTGCGCCACTGTAATTTTAGTTGTTTAACGCTAGACTTATTTTGATTAATAAAATTGAAAATTAAAAAATAGCGTAGAATGTGATACATTTATACACATTCCGTACGTCTATGGTTCTAACAATCCGTCCACATTCCAGACCGGATCGATGCAGGTAACGAGAAGATAAAAAGGCACAACAATTTTTAGTAAACCTTCATTAATGCACACTAGTGTTGTTTTACTCGTTTAAGAGATGTATGAAATCATTGTTTTAATGTGAGCGGTGCTATGCTTTATTTGAACAAAGATCGACAAAGATAGGACTAAAATGAATATTTAAAAATAAAATTATTTAACTTAATTTCTTGTGGATGTTCCTTTTTTAATCATTTTGGGAGCTTTTTTTAAACATCAAAAACAGTATTCATCATGAAATGAAATTATATATTGACATTGGCAACAATGTGAACACTTCAAAGGGATGAGGTCCTTGCAATATTTTTACGGCATGAATATGTGTCATCTTGGTAATCTTTCATTAGAATCTGAGAAAAGACTGTATTATTAATAATACTAATACATAAACAATAAATAAGAGAGGAAGGCCAGAGATATCTGGAAGAGACAAGTTGAACACTACCTATATTTATTTAGAAATTAGAAGGAAGTGAGCCATGAGCATAGCCCTCAGAAAGTCTAGATACCGCTTGGCGTATGCTGTCAATACAAAAAAATGACCCCATTCAAGCTTGTCGCCATGTTAGGTAAATTTATGTTTTGGCTACACTGATTTTTAGTTTGTGTGTTCTGTAATACGTGAACACCGATAATCTGCACTTTGTTATTAGTTATAAGTGAGTGAGACGCACAATTTCTAATTTCAAATTAAGAACAAAACTTTGACAAACCTATTTGATTTTCCTAGATCTGTTCAGACAGGACCGGTTTTATAAAATTTCTCGTTCTTGAAATGTTATTTTTACATGGTTATATATTATTGGATAAGTGTTTTGTGTACATATTGCTATGAGAATTATAGAGAAATTCAGTGAGATTTATGTAATATAATTCAAATTACAAGTAAACCATCTATTCCTGTTTGGCAATATGGAGAAAATACCTACTTCAATGTCAAATGTACTATTTAAAAGAATGTGATTGTTAACCGGTCATTTATTTATATTATATTATGAAAATAAAAAATCGAATTTTTTAACTAGGGAAAGATATACTTACATCGGTAACAAGGTATTTTTAGAAAAACTAATAGATTACTCCTATTCCTATAGTTTATTTGAAAATGAATAATAGCAAAATTATATAAAAATATGGACCTTTGCCATAAAAACTGTGCTACCAAGCATTTTTAAATAAACTATAATGATAATTTGATTTAATAGAGCGAGTATAAGATCTCACCTGTTAGAGAAATTGGGGCATAGGGAAGAGATTATGAAGCAGGTAAGCGAAGTCATTGCAAAAGATAAATATATAGAAGTTATTTTAAAAATTTGATAAAAAAACTAGTGGAACAAGAAATGGAGTTGTCGCTATCGGAGATCCAATCAGCAGAAATTAAAAAAAAACTTTGGGAATGTTGGAAAAGGGCACAGCAATAGGCCCAAAACAATTTCTTGTTTTTTTAATATATATAATCTGAGATGCAAAAAATACTGCTAGAGTGGAGAAGCAGTATTGTTCTAATGTAGAAAACCCAGGGACATACAGCAGTGCACTAACCATAGGCGAATAGTCACTAAATTATACAAGAGTCCCATCTCGATTTTATTTTTAAATATTTTTGAGAATACCTATTATTATTTGTTACATTGAGTTTAATAAAACCACAGATTTCGAATGTATTGAAAGTTATTTAAAAAGTACCTCTATAAATATATAGAAAATGTGTATATGACTAACTCGTTTTATTAATCTTTTTTTGGGGTAGGTAAATATATTTTGATAAATTTACAAACTTCTTTTGTAAAAGACAAAATATTTCTGTTTTTATTAACTGAACAATATTTTATACGAACATAATATATACCTATTTAAAAGAAAATATTACATTTTACAAGTATCGCATATTTATATGAAATAACTAACTCAATAAGAAAGAATTAAATGAAACAAATTAATAAACAATGGATATGAAAAATTGCTATAACAATTTAATCCTTAGATAAACTTATTCTTACATATTGCTTTAATCAATTTATTTACTATAAAAGTATATTTCCTATCATAGATATAATAAAATAAAGCATAAAACATACAAACTATAATATGTACTGTAATAGAAATGAGTCATCAAGAATTTAAAATTAAAGTTGATCAGTGTAATAAAAATTTGGTGAATAATAAATTTAAAAATATCACCCTGTACAACAAATTCTTAAAAAAAAAAATTGTCAAAGGAGATGTCAGAAATATCCGGGGAGACGAGGATTTTGAAGGTTGGTTAAAAAAAAATATCCTACGGGAATCAGCTTTCGATAGAGAATTTTTTAAAATTATCTAAAGTTAGAGCCTCGATGCATTTAAACAGTTTTTCTTTTTGAAAAAGTTGTAATAGTTCAATAACAAAATACTAATATAGACAAGTTGTATCACCTACGTTGTATAGCGAAAGTAAACGGGTGAAATTGTATGTGAATCTGGTAAAAGCAGAATACTGGAACTGGAGACTTAAATTGATAAGAAGGTCTGGATTTGGATATGATATAAGTTCTTGATAGCAGAAAAGACATTTTCCTGTGAGTAATTAGTTTTATAATGGTGTGAAATCATAATAGACAATGTAAATCAATATCACGAATTTAACAAACTATATTTACTTTTGGAAACTGAAGCTAGACCATTGAATAGTAGGATTAATTAAATTATTTAGAATAGTTATTTTTTTGAAAATTAAAACGTCAAATTTTTTTTATTGTCACCTTGAAATTTATAGTTAGATTTCAAATCATAAATATAGAGTTTTAAAGAACTATCTGGTAATAGAAAATATACAGAAAGATTTAAGTTATCTGTTATTTTGTTCATAGCAATTATTAGTAAGGGTGTATGGTGATGAATGTATGGTTAGAGTAATTAAGTTAGTAAGTTAGTAGATAGACTATTTTGTGGATGTTCAGAGATTTGAACTTTGTATAATTTATTGATAATACATTCTGAACTTTTGTACATACAATTTGTCTATTTAATAAAAAATAAATTTTTTACAGGGTGATACAATTAACAATAATAACACATAATATTATTAATTAATTATTATATAAATTACAGTTAAGGTAGGATACTGTTGGAATTGTTGTTGCTACTATTTAATAAATAAACTAAATAAAATAAATAAACTAAATAAATAATTAAATATTTTACCACTGTGATAGTCTGCTCTACAAAAGTGTTAAATAAAATATATATAAAAAAAAACTAGCCAAGGTAAGTCAAGTTAGTGTGTATATTTTATTTTTTTTAATTGTGAGGTTATGAAATAGATAGTGAATATCATAACAGTACCTACTTAAAACGGAACTAATATTATTGTATCAAGGTAGTAATAGTGGACATTTTCCGAATAAAAAAAAGTAAAAAAGAAGTAACGGTCGACACGTTTTTCTGACTATTGGTCTTCATCAGTACGGTGCAGTCAAGTTCAAAGGATCATGGAACTTGTGTTGGAAAAATTGTACAATAAGTCACTAACAATGAGCCAATAACACATTTGCCGTTTCAGCTAGTATCCCCAAATTTTCTGGGCTTATACTAAAGTCACAAAATGATTCAATGGTCTTCCTATGGCTATCAGTTATTCTTTCCTAACATTTTTTGGTATGCTACAACAAAACATACAAATTATTTGATTTTGTAAATACACAAATATTTGTGAAAACTTACACATGAAATGTTATTCCTTCCTTGTATCGTCTACCGTTAGATGCATTGTTACATTCATGTACAAAACAAAAAGAGATTTTGAAAATTCTGTAAAAATTTAACACCAAACCACAAATGTTTTTTATTAAAATAAAACACTAAACGACTAAACTAAAAAATAATGTTTTAAATAAAACCTTTACTAGAAGAACAAAATAAACAACACAACAGATAATAAAATCGTCGAACGCCGATCTTACGCTTATTACTAAACGTGCGCCGATTCTGTCTTGTCGGTAGTGCCAACTTAAAATTTATTGACATTTATTTATCATGGCGCCCATCATATGGGGGGTCAAAATGTTTTTACGATGCGGTATCTATACCTTCTGAGGGCTATGGCCATGAGCCACCTGGACTGAAGTGTTTTATACTTAACTTGGCTATATATGGAACAATTTTTATTAATAATTTTCAAGAAAATTAAATTTTTGATAAAAGTTGGTGCAAAACATATTCAGGGAATACCAAAAATTGTGATTTTTGTTCAGGAATGCCTTTATTTAGGAAAAAATCGAACGATATTATTTAAAATAGTTAAGTGATCGTTTATAGGCTAAGTAACCCTAAAAGGTAATAAAACTCGATAACAAAAAATAATCTGAAAACCAACGTGACAAATAGCTGTAACATGGCAAAACAAACTGAATCAAGTAAAATGGAGGCTGTCCTTTGAACCATTATCTCTTTTCAGTGTAGCTACCAAGTATGTAATCAGTCATCTCAACAACATACTTAGAAGACAAATAGTAAGTAATGCTGGTCTGATTTTTACACATTGTAGAAAACGTTTGTATGTTTTATATTTTACTAAATCAAATGGATATGTTGATAGAATAATTGATAAACCTTTGCTTAATTTATGTACTTACTCTGATCAATTTTCAGGTCGACGGGAAACTCCAAAGCTTTGATAATTTTTGTGCAACCATCCTGCTTGTAGTCGAAACACTTCAAATGAAGGATAAGTATAACTGGTAATTCATCCAAAAGTACTTGTTGCCAAGCTTCGACTTCCTCGTTTGTCTTGGAAGAAGTTAAACCTTCTAATTGATGCTTATTCACAAGTGCTTCTAGGGCTTCTCTCACCGTTTTCACTTTCTAAAAGAAAATTTAGATTGTTAACTTTGATTTAATGTTATGTAAATTGAGGGTTAGCTTTTTAGTTTTTACATAATCAATGAAAGAACATTTTTTGTTGGTAGATATTATTCTAACCTAAAAATTTGTTTTTTTAACTAATTGAGCATTTTAACATATTAAGCATTGAAGGAAAATAACGCACAGTGGCTGAAATTTCAAAATTCTCGGCCAAAATTAAAAAAATATTTTTTATTCCTTAAAACGGGTACAAAATGCAAATTGAAGATATTAGTCAGTAACGTTTCAGTAATATCATTGTATAAAGAACTAAATAGTAGTCTCACCTTATGGAATTTTCGTTGGAGCGAAATGGATACTACCAATAGATGGCGTTAGTGAATATGGATAAGTCGATATTCGTTTGCAGTGGGCGGAGTTGAGGGTCCAGCAGAAATTTTTAAGAATGACTGAGACCGATCGATGGATTTCTATTTTTAGCTCTTGGATAAAATTTTATACACTCGTAATTGAATGTTTGGACTATTTTCTATCTAATGTTTGTTATTGTGCGTTAGTGCGTTTACGGGTAGTAGGTATTGTGAATGAGTTGTGTTTGTTTTATTACTGAATTATTTTACTGTTAATAAAGGACGAGTTCCCAAAAAAAATTTGTGTATTTATAACTGTTTTGAAATTAATAAAATAGAAAATATACTTTTGTTTTTCTTTTCCTTTACAGGTTTTATCCGAATTAATTTAAAATAAATTATATAATATTAATAATAATACATTTCTTAAGTGTTGAAAAAATTGTATTTTTCATTTAAATACCTAAGTACTTAGCATAAGTAATTATAAACAACAGGTTATTTCTTTAATCTGGTGCGTAACAATGTAATAAAAAAAACCCTTAAGATGGTTCGTAAATAATATAAATGAATTCTTAATATTGAAGTAAACAAAATGGGTTCTATAAGGATTATTGGTTGGGGTTCGGCTTTGGGGGATAGGGTCGAAATATTGAAACTAAACTTGGTATATGGATGTATTATACCATAAAAATAAAAATCGCTTTAAAAAATTCACCCCTCCCCACCCCTATCTGATATGGCGAGGGTGGCATTCCCAAAAAATTAAGTTAGAACTTTTTAAATAAAACAGTTGAAGTCTAACGATTTTTTATACATAAAAACACAAAATTCCAATTTTTTTTGAACTTAGAAAAACTTCGACTTTAATCTTCATAGTTCGGATGTGGGGGCTGGCATTTAAAAATAGTTATAGACGACATAAAAATCTTATTTTTGACATATTTATAATATAAATGATTTGCAACATTTTTGTATAAAAATCTTACCACCACCATCCCTTGGAGGGAAATGGAGGGGATGGCATCCCCAAAAAATCAAGTTAGAACTTCTACAATCTACAATTTTTTATACATATAAACCCAAAATTTCAATTTTTAAATCAAACTATTAAATTAAATTATTTTTTTAATTTCTTTATTATATTTAATATTATTTCTACTTTTTCTAACAATAATCAATTTAAGATATCTACTTTGATTGAGCCAAAATATTTAGTAGAGGAAGTTTTTAATATTATACAAACATACTGTGTGTCCAAAAAAATATATGAATTTGGCTAAACATTAACCTTTATTTCTAAAAACAGGAGGACAATGTTACTTGAAAAATGTATCTAGAATTAATATTTACCACCATCAAATCCTGGACCTGGACACAATTTTTTTTTTAGCAATACGGGAGAAGCGGAAGTGACATTTTTACAAATGAAATTAATTTCAACAAATTTATTTGAGATCATGTACAAGATTATTCATTATTAAAGACACCTTTTATAACCACTATTGCATATTCAAAAAAAGCTTTAAATAAAAGTTTGTGAATATGACTGACTTTTTTTAAATATACCATAAAAACACGTATTCAGATTTCACGGAATACAACACAAATAAACTTTTTTAAATGGGATACACTCTATGTTATTAAATTTCTGGGATATTTTTTTTTTTCTAATTTCACAAATGTATATTATTGATAACCCTATCTTATACCGTCTGTTCTCGAAAGTAATTTAACGTTGATAATCTAAACATGAAAAAGTTAACATTATTAAAGTAAAAGCTATGAAAATCACAACTATTATGTTTGATAATAAAATAATCCAAATACGTAGTTTACAATGAGAAAGAAAAAGTGTAAATATTTATAAGATATTCGACATAGATTATCTATGATATTCGACATAGATTATCTATGATATTCGACGTTTAATTAATCAGGAAAGGATCATTTCGAAAATTGAATAAAATATATATCTATGCTATCCTTATTAAAAAATATTCATGTTAAATCCTGTGAAATATGCACACCACTGATATGGTCATTTGATGACATTTTTACAAAATTCGGTCAATGTAAACATTATACAATATAGCATAATTATAGCATAATTTATAATGAATAACCCTGTTAGGTACCATAAATTTTCAGTAAAAAAATTTTAATTCGCACTTTTTTACGTAGATTAAAGAAAAATGTAATTTTGTGCGTTTTCTTGGTGCAGACTTTTGCGACACACTGTATTTTCAAATCCAAAATGATGTATTTTCTTCTAACACATATCTAATACAAATTTATTAGCAACATTTAAATACTTGTTATTTTCGGTATATTTCTCCTTTAGACACACACATTTTTAGTTTCATTGTCAAAAGATTTAAATAAAATTACCGGACCTTATAATGTTCTATTATAATTTGATGATCCCGAGAGCAAAAAGACGAAACTTGAGCATGAAGATTTAGATGTCATTAACGTAAAATTAATGTTTTGAAATTAATTTAAGTTTTACCAATTTAGAAAATAAAATTAAATAATAAAAAAAAGTGTCCACTTGGGGGTTTGAACTCGGAACCCTTCGATTCGTAGACAAGTACTCTAAATTTTCGTTATGAAGACTTATAAAAAAGTTTTACTTTTTAACGCTGATAATCAGACTGCTTTTAGTTTCATTAAAATCTCAGTTTATTTCTAAATATAGACGAATATCTTGTGGAATGCTATTATTTATTAATTCTTTACAAGAATCACTAATTTTTATTTATATTTAATCTAAATAACTAAAAAAATATATACTGACAATAAATTTGACGGAATTGTCACTTATAAAGTTCTAACATCTGACGTAGAGGGCGTATCTAACCAGTAAATAAAATCGTTAGTTCAATGATTGTACCAATAGATGTCGGGAGCGATTGCCTCCAATAACTTTTACATGGCGATTATCCTACTATATTTCTTTATACAATGGTAATATAAGTAATATAAACCCAGATTGTAATTATTTTTTTCTCAAAAGTTAATTTTCACTAATTAGAGACATCCTAGCATAAAAGTATGAATTTTTTTAAATTTGTCATTATGCTATAACTTGGAAACATAAAAATCAGATAAGAACAATAATTTTATACATTATTTTTACATATTATTATATAAAACACTCCTGGAGTTTGTGCAGTACCCCCTGACTCATCCTGTATATATTCAAACAATTTTTTTAAATTTTATTATAAAAATTAAAATTGGTTAATAGTAATTTTTGGTAAATAAACATATTCCATTACATTACCTCTATATTTAGCTGAAGAGTGAAAAACGGCTGAATGTTCTCAGTGCTAAGGTCACCAGCCCTGTGAATTTTCGATTTTAGTAACCCTCCAAAAATGTCGCTTATGGGAGTTCTATCAAAGTCTGTCCTTCTGGTAATGCTAAGTTTATTTTTTGGTCCCATAACCTAATTAAATTAAGATTAGAATGGTTTTAATATATTTTTATCGCATTTGTTCACGTATCGATTTGATTCATTAACATACCTTCCATTCTTTGTCTCCATTGTCATCGATAACAAATGGCGGGGATTCCACTGTCTCTTCTCTGTCATTTTTTACCAATTTGATTAGCTAAAATAAATTTTAATCAGTTATATCATTATTTTTTGAATACATACTTTTAAGAAATAAAAAATTGAACTGACCTCTAACATTTCATCATTTAATCCATTTAGCAAGAATCCAAGAAACTCTTCCGCGTCTTCCTGTCGACCCTCGATGAGATCCGTTCTGATTCCGTTTAGCATTTTATATATCCAAGTTGGTTCGAAAGGAATATCTGTATTAATCAAAACGTTTGCGTCTTTTTTTGTATTCTTGTCAGGCTTTTTGTCTTTGTTTCTCAAACTCGGGGGTAAATATTTGAATTCTTTGGCGAAGCGACACCTAGAAATAGTTTTTTTTTTTTTTTTAGCAATATCTGTTTATATACGGTGCACCAATTAGTTTGGATCGGAGCACAGCAGGTAAACTAAAATATTTTGAAAAAAGCATCAATTCAATATTGTGGAACACCATATAGAGACCACATTTATAAAATAATTTCCTAAATACCGGTTGCTCCATACAGAACAGGTATAGAGGTCATATTTGTAATTAGAGAATCTTTTTTTATTATTATTTGATTCTATTTTTGATAGGCTTTACAAACAAATTTGTTTTTGAAAGAGTATTATGGTTCAGAACACTTTGTTTTTGATGTAGCCCCACAAAAAGTGTTGTAAAGATGTCAAATAAATTGAGTATTTTTTTTTTATTTGAAGCATCTTAAATTATGCTGAATGGACTTGGGTTCCTTCAAATTTTATAACGAATCTGGTGATTTATTTTGAAAGTGGCCTAATATCAACTCTTATTACTCACTAATAATTGCCATTATATTAATAGGAACTATAAATTTAACACCTTTAGATACACTTAAGCAGTATGACTCATTAGTATCTTGTATGTATGTATATTTTTAATTGTATTGAAACACAAACCCTTAGATATCTCAATTTAAGTATAAATGGACTTAGGCCACTTTCAAAATAAATGCCTCAATTATATGACATTTTATTTCCGTTAATAAAGTATTTTTTCTCATAAATAACTAACTAAACAAATACATAAAGGAAAATAAATATACTATACTCATTTGGAAGGTTATATTAGGCAAAAGTAAAAAATATTGTGCCAAAAAAAATAGTTATTATACCAAGAAAAACAGATTTATCTTCCAACAAAAGTCTTTTCTGCATAGATTGGCACAAATATACAATGTGCACAAACAAAAAATTAAGTTATAGACGACAGGACCATCCTTTATTACCTGTTTTAAGGCGTGAATAGAATATATACACGCGGCATATGTTTGTAATCAGGGCCACCGAGAGCCAGGTGGGGCCCCGGGACAATTTTCCAGGTGGGCTCCGCGACAATAATTTTATAAAAAAAAATTAAGACCTTCCAAAATTCTTTTTAGTGAAATCTCTTGTATTTTACATTAACCAGCGCTCCTTCCTTTTGTGGCGAACTTCTAAAACAATAAAATGTCCTCACCTAAAGCTGCCGGGCCCCCCTTATACCTCTACCTCGGGAATTTGTCCCGGCTACCCCCTGTTTGTAATAATTTAATCCCGTGCCGCGTGTAATATATTTTATTCACGCTTCTATTGGATATTGTAGTTTACCTAATTATGCTTCACATCCTTGTTAGTGGAAATAAAGATAACCATGTAGTATAACTATGTTACGCCGCTGACCCACATGTACAGATTTAAAATTTTACGTCACTCTCTATCGCTGCCTGCCTACATTACTCATTACCAATTGTTGTGTCGCCTGAATCACATCGTTAAACCGACCACATTCCAGCGATTATAAAAATATGGGTAAAAACTATCGAAAACGCAAATCGTATTAGAAATATGATAAATTGAAAAAGAAGTGAAGGAATTCAGAGCACAGGTAGGAAAATATTGTTTTTCTTTTTATTTAACTGATTTTTAGCTTGCAGAAGATACTACTTTATGTGTAAATTTCTGCATTTAGACGACAAATATACAGAAGATATTACTTTATGTGTTAACGGTGCAATCATTCATAAAATCCGTCTGCAAAACGAAAAATGCTACTTAATGTGCAAATTTCGCAAAACTTTGATGAGGGCAGATACTACTTTATGTGTAAATTCTGCATTATAGACAAAGACATGTACAGAGGAGGCTACTTTATGTGTTAACTCTGATTATATACTAGTACAGGTTTGAGAATGGTTTTCTTCATAATTTAATTGATTTATAGCTTGCAGAAGATACTGCTTTACTGTAAATTTCCGAATTTAGACGACATATAAATATGCAGAAGATACATCATTCATTCAAGCCGTATGCAGGGCGAAAAATGCGACTTTATGTGCAAATTTCGCAAAACTTTTGTGACGGAAGATACTACTTTATGTACAAATTCTGCAAATAACTATACAGAGGAGGCTACTTTATGTGTTAACTCTGATCTAATACTAACATTATACAAGCCCAGCTAACTGTAACGCGAAAAATGCTACTAAATGTGTAAATTTTGTAAAACTTGTACTCTTTATAAATAAATAAACATGTTTCAAAGTGTTAGGATTTTACATATTAAAAATAAAAAAAACAAAAACTAAAAATAAATAGAAATAAATAAATATTAATAAAAATTAATAAAAATCAATAAAAATTAATAAAAATTAATAAAAATTAATAAAAATTAATAAAAATTAATAAAAATAAATAAATAAAAATTAATATTCATTCTTTTTTTTTTTAATTATAAACACACGACACCACGCGTGCAAAGCTGCGGGTAAAAGCTAGTAAAATATATTTTTGTTCTCTTTTTGTAACACCACTGAATGAACTTCTGTCAAAAATACCATGACAAACATTTGGGTTATGTCGACTATATGAGACTGCTAAAATTGGCAATACTATTGAGACTAAACTCAGAAGTAACCACAGGAGGCAGGACAAAATATTTACATCTAATTCCTTGATAATTCCTTTAAACTTGTAAATACCTCGCAATATCCTACCCACGTACCCCTAATTCCCCTGCAGTTTACCCTCTACAAACTCTGAAGTAGATAAATTAATTTTCTTTGGAAAACAATGTTAAAATATTATTTGTATATTATAATAAACATTGAATTTTTACTGATTTTTTTTTTTGATAAATAATAAGTTTGCAAAAATGTAACGTTACTGTTGTTTTTAAACTGACATAACATTGACAGTTAGGTACTTTTTCCTTTATTTTTATCACACTACGATAAATAGTTCTATACATTAAAAATTTGCAGTTTAGTTAAATTTAAAGGTATTATTACAATAAAAAAACAATATTTTATTTTTCATTCTATGAAAAAAGATGCTTTTTATTTGATTCACATCATGGAAAAAAAGTGTTTTAATGATTATCATTAGGAAATAATATTAAATTTCGTATTGGTTATTATACTCGCCGAAATGAATAAAATAAATAAGACTTACAAAAAAAAGTAACTTACATTCCATCAATGACTGGAGTTGGCTTCCGTTTCTCATTCGAAGAAATGTTTTGTGCTAAACCTGTCAGAAGATTGTACAATGGCGGGCAGGCCACCAGTGCTTGTAAGATTGAATTGATGTAGCAGTAGTTGCTTTGATTCAATAAACCTCTGGGTTGTAGACTGAGAGCTTTACCATCGATAACATATGAAGTAAGATATTCTGTAAGATATTTTTTTAGGTTAAGATTCCAGTAATGAAAGTTTAGATATTATGGGGTCTATTATGTTAGTTAATTTTAACCTTAGATAAAAGAGACCGGAGATGTAACATTGCACACTGCGCATGTTGTCTATTTTAAACCTAAGTAACCCACCAATTAAAAATCATTGTGTTCACGACGCCACCCGAATTGCTCCGAAATGTCTATTCTATGCTTGTCTCCGTGTGAGTAAATCATTATGGACCGCCGTTTTTTGAATTATTTGTTGGTGTTATTAGCAATTTAAAGTGTTTTAGTTATTCAATTTCAAGTTGAAAGTGCCACGATGTATGGTGAAAAATTGTATATACAAATAATATAAGTGTCAATGTTATGAAAAATAAGAAATATATTCGTTTTCAGTGGTAAATATTTGTTGACGTTTTGACATAAAGTCGCCATGATTCTTTGAGCTGAATACTTCAGATCCGCATTAAGGGGTTTCAATAAATATTAAGCGTCAAATACATAATATTTCAGAAAATAGATTTCATAATGCATTAATTTACAAAAGAGTAAAATTTTAAACATTTAATCTAAATAAGAAGTAAATAGGCATTGTTACTAACGAAATTTTGTTTTTAAATGTAGTTTTATAAGAATATTTACTAAAGGTGGTTTTAAGCGCTTTATTAGGTATTTTTACAAGAATATTAGATGAAATACAGGCTCACGTACTTAAAATTTCAAGGTTAATTTTATTTGCGGTTAAATCGGAAGTGACATTTGAATCTTAAGTTTTAAAATAAATTAAAACGCGCAATATGATCTAGTATAAGCAAAAAAATACTAAAGTTACGGAAATTAGTCATATTATTAGTAAAATGTTACATTATAAACCCCTAAACAACTCGAAAAAAAATATCTTCGTTTACTAAAAAAATCTAAATTCTAGCAATATTTATTATACAATCGAATGCGGTTTCAAAGATAACAGGATCAATAAATCCGAATCCATAAATTTTAGAGCTAAATGCTTGGATAAAAGCATGACCGATAAGAGTTACAAAAATAATCGATTTATCGTTTTCATGAAAATCGATTTATAATTAATTTACCGATTATTTTTGATTAATCGAACATTTTCAATAAATTGTTTTCGTTTTTTTAGGTAAAGGAATAATCGATTATAAAGGGATTACAAAAAGAGAGTAGATTTATTGAAAATAATCGTTTTTTTTTTTTTTTAGAAAAAACGATTTATTGTTTGATCGACTTTTTAAATTAATCGATTATTTTCGATTTATAGAATATTTTCGATTAATCGATTATTTTCGATTTTTCAAAGGTATTCGAATAATTTGTTTTAAAATACAAAAAATAGAATATATAAAAATAATCGATTGATCGAATATAATCGGTTATATTATATAATCGATATTTCGGTTATTTTTTAGAATTATCGATTTATCGGTCAATCAGCTTTTTATTAATCGATTATTTTTGATTTTTCAAAGAAAATTAAATAATCAATTTTAAAAGGAATATGAAAAAAGAAAAGGATTATTTGTAAATAATCAATAATTCAGTATTATATGAAAATAATCGATTGATCAAATATAATCGGTTATTTTATATAATAGATATTTCGGTTATTTTTTAGAATTATCGATTTATCGGTCAATCAGCTTTTTTATAATCGATTATTTTCGATTTTTCAAAGATAATCAAATAATTAATTTTAAATTAAATATGAAAACAAAAGGATTATTTGATCGATAATTCAGTTATTTTTTTGGAAAATCGATTTAACGTAGAATCGGCTTCTTAATTAATTGGTTATTTTCCCTTAATCGATTATTTTCGATTAAGCGATTAGTTTCGATGTTTTAAAAATGATCGAATAATTGATTTTAAAGGAAATAATTCTTTTTTTTTTAAATCGATTTATTGATTATTCGACTTTTTATTTAATCGATTATTTTTGATTAATCGATCATTTTAGATTTTTCAAAGATTATCGAATAATCTGTTTCAATGGAAATACGAAAAAAAAAATAGATTATTTAAAATAAACGATAATTAGTTTATTATTTTTTGGTTAATTGGCTTTTAAATTAATCTATTTTTGATTTTTCAAAAATAATCAAGTAGTCGATTTTAAAGGAAATACGAACAAAAATAGATTGTTTAAAAATAATCGATTGATCGAAAATGATCGATTATTATTAATAATCAATAATTTATTTCGATAATCTCCCACTCCTGGCGACCAAATGACTTTTAATAGGTTTAAATTTTAAAATGTTATCTGGATTCAGACATATGCATTTCTAGAGTTTTATGTGACTCATCCTCTATATTAATTAATATTCCTAAAGAAACAAGCTTTAATATATCTTTTTCTGAGGTTATAATACAAACCAGCATTTTCTCATTTTGACTAATTTTTAATATTATGTGATAGTCGTAGAAAAAATATAATGTTCAACTCACAAGGTTTGATTTGCAGTGTTCGCCTGCGCATATGCTTTTTTTTATAATACTCTTAGACATTTTTTACTAGATTAACAATATTCTATTTCAACATTTTACTGTAGTCTCTTACAGAAAAGTCCGTAGTAAATAATAGCTAACGAAATATTCTATAAAAGGTCCTCTCCTTACATAAAATGTCGTGGCATCTGTTTGATATTAAAAAATGACGTTAAATTTATTTCATAATACAAAATTCCATTGAACGTATATTTTAAATAAATCTAATAGTTCATTTTGATGCTAATAAACAAAGTCCGGTCCCTGTCACAAAGTTCGGGTCCCTGTCCAGTTCCCCCACTCCGTTAACCTTTCTTTAGAAATTGGCAACATTTGCGCAGGTTAAACACCGGTGTATGTTATATCTCTGGTCTCTTTTATCTAAGATTTTAACCGTCAGGTCAAAAGGTTATTTTCAACTATGATGTTTACATTTTGATCCAACTCTTTATTCAATATTTCATCAATTTAATTTCGTGTTATTAGCTATTTTATAACCAGTTAAAATAGACATGGCAACCACTAAAAGTGATTTGAAATCAAGCCAAACGTAGTTTAATTTTAACAAATTTTTTTACAGAATAGACCTCTAAGTAAGATAGATTATCAATTATCTCAAATGTGGTTAACATGTAGAATTAAACACTATGTCACATTGGCAAGTGACATTGCACTCTTGAGAGTAACGGGAGTAAAACCATGCAAACTCCGTTCACGCATACTTCACTCCACTTCACTCTGCAGTGCGCAGCCCGAACTCACCTTACATTGACTTAAGGTTAAAATAAAACATTTTTTTAAATTATTGAAAATATGATTTTTCAAAAAGGTGCATGATCAAGAAATCATAATGAGTGGTTATATGAATATGGAGTACTAAACATTTTGGTGAAAAAGCAATGGACAATTGAAAGTTATACTCTCAAAGTGTATTTATTTTATATTTACGACATTCAGCATGGACAATTTTTAAGGCTCACCATTAGGCTCTCGAAAATCGTAAAAGTTTCAAGGTCATAAAAGCTGATAAAAATGAACTTTGCAGACATGAAATATCCAGAACTGTTTTCAAGTTATAAGGAAGAATATCTGTAATTTTTTTAATTTATAAACACTTTTTATTTCGTAATGGCTTTAATTTAATATTTTCAAAATATCTACAGGGCATTTAGTTTATGATTTAAAAGGAGATCTAAATGGCGAACATTAAAAAAATGGTCATTCTATATACTTAAATTTTGATTAACACTTACCACCCATTCTATAACAGTCTGGATCAACAAACTGTTGTGACTTTCTTGGATGCTTGATGGGACAAATTGCGTCATTATTATTGGATTCCTTGTTCACAGCCTGAATAGAAGTATTTTTGTCTGAATTCTGTTTAACAGTAGGAGTGTTACTAGCAGATTTATTTGAATTAAATAAACTTGCCCACGACTTATTGGCCGGGGCGGGACTAGCAGTTACATCTGCATTTTCATCACCATTCTGTACGACAGGAGAGACAGGGATTGTTTCAGGCACTTTTTCTGGTGTTGTACCATTTTGTACTATCCTATAAAAAAAATTATTAGTCACAATGATTTAATGAATTTGAGAAATAATTAATATTAAAAATTGAAGGTTTATGAAATAGGATCATGTAGTAAGTCACCATCTCGTTCTAATACAACTAAAGATTAATTAGTATTATTTGAATACGCTAAAAATGTACCAGATTTCATAAAAATGTACCGGATTTCATAAAAATGTACTAGATTCTATAAAATTAGCAGATTTTTGTAATTATGAAGTATGGTCATTAAAGAACAAAAAAAGGTTTATAGAGAACACCAAAGATATCGGATAATAGATACGCCTTGTATACATTGCACTTGTCCGCAACTTTTTTTTGACGGTACGTTCTTCCTATGTTGTCAGATCTCTTTCATCAAATATCAAACATTAAATTTTTATTAAAAAAGTTACTATTCCTTTTAATACAATCTAATAAAAAAAGGAAATGAAGAATTAGAAGCATCAATATGAGTTTTTTATTAATTGCAATCACTTAAGACTTTTATTTAGCTATTTTTACATGTGTTACATATGGGAATATTAAACATTCTGGTATATATCCTTTAAGTTTGGCAACCTAAGACACTTTGCTGATGTTGCAAAGTGACAGATCAAGTTTTATTGTGATTTTTTGTGGTTTTTTGTAGTTTTCAAGAATAATTTAAACCCTGAACTTTTTAATAAGGACTTTTACGATAAGGAGGAAATATAAAGCGTGTCGAAATAGGCAGAATAACAATGTTATTCGGTCATGTCATAAGTAAGATTATGTTAGCATAGACGTAGGCATATATAGGAAATAAGACTTAATTTATTTAACAGTGTAAAGGCATTTAGCACTAGTATTGTTTATTTAAATAATAATGTTCTATATTTTCTGATCAGGTTTCTTAGAGAAATTATTCAACGTAGAATTTGGCTGTAAAATCTAGGAAGACATTATGAAAGTGAAAGAAGCCTTAGTATGGCAGATATTTATGAAAATTTAAGTGGTTAGACACTATTTAAAACATAATGCTATACCTATCAAGTAAGTACAATATTTATTATGGGTATTTTTATAATATGTAAGCTCTAAAATTATACAGAAATCAACACATTTTACATAATTTGCATCACCAGTAAGGTAACTTAATAATTTATATTGAGAAAAGCATACAATTATATATAATTTTTTTTCTAGTTTTTTAAAGAATAATGAAGATCCGTGCTTATCTAGAGCGCGTTCAGGAAACACGCTCCGACCAAAAAGAGCGCGATCAGTTTAGTCTTGGTTCGTTCAAGAACAGTCGAGCGTTCAATTTGGATGTTCAACTACTCTCGTTCAGAAAGTCGAGTCAAATTGTCTGGAGTGCACTCTTTTTTACCCAGTTTAGACTGGGTTCATTTGAGTAAATTTGACAGAACGTAAAGTTCTTTTGCAGAAGTTGTTGTTTCATATTATTTTTGTGTGTCATAAAGGTGTTTGTACATGGAATTTTATAAAGTTAAGTTTGTTTCAAAATAAATAATCTAAAATTTCTTGTCTTATTGACTATATAGATCATTCATTATAATCTTGAGTATAAATAGGGTTGTAAATAGGTAAATATTAAAATAAAAAGAAAAAAAAAAACAGCTAACAAAACTAAATGAGTAAAAAGTAAAAATACACACGAGACACGAGTAACAACGGAAAGGGAGGAAGATCAAACATTATAAAATATCTGTAAACAAATAACTGTAAAAAACTTTAATTTTCCTACGACCACTTAGGAAAGTGACACATATCACACTATATAGTCCTATGGAAAGTGCCCTATATCACACGCGTATGAATAAGAATTTACTTTCCACCCGAGTGAGAATATGTTACTTTCCGCAGTAGTTGTCACAAAATGTCAAACAGCTAATTTCCATTTTGATCTATGTAATATCCATATTAATACTAAAATCGATATGATTGTTAAATTATTGAAATTGTTGTAAATTAGATCCTAGATATTTATCTTTAACAATTATTATTAAAATAATTTTAAAATAATGTTTGCTCTTTATTCTGGTTGAATACATAATCGATTAGATCATTCAATTGACACAAGGGCTATTAGCTCAGGTGGTTAGGACGTCGAACTTATCAACTTTGCCATTTTTCGACCGCGTTCAATCGATGGATCAAATCCTGGCGTGGCAGAAATTTTTTTTGTTTTTTTTTCTAGTTTTTTTTTTGTTTAAAAAATATGAAAATTGAATAAATACGATTATTATTGTTGATTATTTTTTTAAATACATTTTAATTATTATAGTAACAATAACCTTGGTTTTACATTTTTTTGATGATATTATTTTGTGGCCGTAGGAAAAATATTGTACATCACTTGTGTGAAAAGTGATTTTCCACACTCGTGTGATAGTCGCACTCGGCTTGCGCCTCGTGCGACAATATTTCCCACTCGTGTGAAAAATGTCACTTTCCACACTCGTAATGTAATATACTATTTCGAATTCGTTGACGCTTAATTTCGTTGCCGTTCAGAAATTTTTGGGCAAATGAGAATTACTCTAGAATAACCTGGGCAAACGATCTAAGAAAATTAGTCTACTCCCGTGTAGAATCATCTGAATGCGCTCCTAGTACTCCTACAGGTCCTAAAAGGTAACATTGTAATTGTGTATGTTATATAAATTATTGGATTATTTTTGATTTAAATAACTTATTTAAGAAAATTATGTGTACCTAAAAAGCATTTTATTTCAGAATCAGTAATTTTTTATTTTAATTATGTTTTTATAATTTTTTATCTATTTTTAAGTAACTGGTTCCATAAAATGCACTTATTCTTATTCTTTATGTAAAATATTTTAATACATGTCCATATACTAACAGTATATTGTGTCCAGACGATACTAATTTTATCATTGAAGACAATAGTTTATAGTAACTGCATTGAACAAAAGAAAAGAGATAGTCAAAAGATTCACAGGTTATTAATCGGACAATGGCATAGTAATTAATCCCTAAAAAAAAAATTTCTACGATCACTATCCAAAGTAGGCTTTTGCACATTCAAATCTAATTAGAAAGTTGACGTTTTTCGCGAACTGTCATAATTTGACATTATTGACGCAAACGCGCAAGTAACTTTGGCACACGCTTGTCTGTTTTCATTTGAATGAAATAAATGAAAGCTAATTGATATTTTAAAACAATATATAAGTTAATCGAAAATATTAAATTGACTTCCTAATATTTTAAATCATTTAACAGTATTTCCTGTAAATAATTAATCACAAATAATTACCAACACATAAGTACTACAAACTTTTCTCTTCGACAGATTGTCGTGCTCCGCTAACGCGTCGCTCGGCAACTTTTTGTCTCAACTGCCAAATGTGCTACTTTCTGTTCTTAATACACAAATAGTTATTTTGTCTTTTATGCCAAAATATGCTTTACAAAATATCAGTTATTACACTAAGGACCGATTCTACCGTTGTGTTAAACGAAGTTTAAAATGACATTTTTACATTAACAACGTCATTTTAATCTCCGTTTAACACAACGGTGGAATCGGCCCTAAATAAATCTATTGAGCAGGTTCTTTATTAAGAGTTTGTAGGAGTAACCATTGATAGTAAAATGACATTCGAAATGTCACAAAAGAAGCTTCTTTCAGTTTTTTCTATTCGGACAAATTAGAAATAAAGTCTCTCTTAATAATCTTAAGCTAATATGTGTTTTAGCCTTGTCCAGATATTATAAAATCATTGCTGATTACTCTCCTAAATGCGTTATCATACCATTACACAAATAATGCTAAAAATAGGTGTCGTGACATGCAACCCAAATGGTATGTAATGGAAAGATCCTATTTGTATATTTATGTATCTGAAATAAAATTGTTTTACTGTTTTTAATAAGTTTTTTATTTCATAAAAAAAGGTAGTCCGCAATATAATTATTCTTTTTTCGACCTGTAGAAAAGGATTTCTGACAATACCCATGTAAAAATAATAATAAATGGCGCTATATTTTTACTTGCTCTTCATGTATTTAAAAAAAAAAAGATAATATATAATAAAATACTAACAAAAATGTTCTTCCACTTTGAGCTACCTACTATTTTAATATATAAGAAAATATATAAAATGACTTTTTGAATGCCCTGTATAAATTAAATATGTTTTCTTTAAGTTTGCCTTTGATTACGAAGACCCATATAGGTTATTGATTTGGTCATTAAATAATTTTTACTAAAAAATATATCTAAACCCTCCCGAAACACTACGTCTATGTGCGACGTACGATTCCCCTTTCCCCGTCTGGTATAACATGCGGACAGAAGGTGTATTGGGTATACAGTGTGAAGGGCGAGTCTATCTTAGATAATATGATGTCTATGGAGAACACGAACACAACAATTTTAAACAATATTTTTTCTCTCGACAAATTTCTGACACTATTTTATTTCTTTTTTTTTAATTAGTTGAATGGCTGTGGTAGGAACCAATTAGCCAGACTTTTGTTTCTGTTCCACGAATACTCAATATTGTTAGTATTTGGGTATGTGTGCTTATATAATTTTTTTTTGTTGTTTTTTTTTTTGTTGTATTATATTATATATTTATATTTTTTTTATTTTATTTTTTTTTTAATATATTTTTTTTATTTTATTTTTTTTTAATATATTTTTTTTTTCAACGCACGTACAATTTTTGTGATAATCGCAAGGTTGCTTACAAACTGTCGTTAGTATTATTTACAATTTTATATTACATCTCTCGAGCAGTTTTTGAATAAGATTTTATACCTTTTGATACACTTTTATCTCTCGAACAGTTTTTAAATCTTTTTTATCTCTTGAGCTATTTTGAAACAATATTTTATCTCTCGATAAATTTCTAACAGTATTCTATCTCTCGAGCAATTTTTAACAACTTTTTTATCCCTCGAGCAATGTCTGTACAAAATTTTTTGTAAAATTTTTAACACTGTTTAATCACTCGAGCAATTTTTAA